ATATATATATATATATATATATATATATATATATATATATATATATATATATATATATATATATATATATATATATATATATATATATATATATATATATATATATATATATATATATATATATATATATATATATATATATATATATATATATATATATATATATATATATATATATATATATATATATATATATATATATATATATATATATATATAGAGAGAGAGAGAGAGAGAGAGAGAAGCATAAGTAACGAAAGTTATATAAATAATTTAACAACAAAAGTTTCGTTATTAAAACAAATTTTAGGAGAACTTTGGAACCTCTTTTAAGTATTTAGAAACATCGTTGATCATACATGCATAATGCAACATAAGCTGTTAATGTGATTCTTGGACGATATGCCGCCTACCCGACACCGTCGTAACAGTACCGTCGTACACTCGGTTGACGCCAGCGAGGAATCTCGACTGCGATATAATACTTGATACTGCTATATTTAATGCTTATTTCGCTTAAAATGGAGAAATCTGATATGTATTTCGGCAATTAAATAATCATCGCACCGTTCTGATCGCTCTATCGTACGCGGCGTCGCAGTAGCGATTTTGAAGAAAAGTTTATATATATATACATATATATACATATATATATATATATATATATATATATGAACTTCACATGTGTGTATGTGTGTGTGTGTGTGTGTATGAACTTTCCTTCAAGAAATTACCTACGGAATTACCTTTCGAATTTCGTATCCTGATAATTAATTAATGGAAAGCGATAAAATATTTTAATGCATGTCTCGTGAGAGGGAAAAGCATTGGGCGCGATCGATCAGTCAGACACTCGGCCTTTGCGACATGACACATCCACATGGATTAGTCATTGTCGGGCCCCAGGCTTCGCGTCACTTCGCGTCATGCGAGTGGAACGTTACGCCGAAGCAGCCGTCTTTCTCTCGAGAATCCACTCTTATAAAAACGTACCACTACGGACTATTTAAGAATCGCAGAAGCGGGTCGTAGACTAATGCCCCCCCCCCCCTTTCTTTTTTAACAAGTTTAACGAGCTGTATCGGTAATGCGCATGAGAATATTACGTTAGAACAGGTATATAATTTAATTTCAACTAGCGAGAGGGAGAGAGAGAATGCTACGGCATATTCCTTACCGGAAGACTCTTTTGGATATATGACCGTATTTGGCTCGGTTTCACCGATCTAGATCGTTATCTTGGATCTGATATCGCATTGTGGAACGAGTAGCATATTGTGCGATCAATAGCGCGCAAAGTCGACAAGCTCGAAGGAGATTTCAAATGACATGGGGATTCTTGGGATTCAGCCTTGCATCTACAACTTGAAGATGAACTTAGCATCAAGATAGATATAAACTGCATAATCAGCGTTCTTGGCTCTTTTTTCAGAGGCGCCGCGTCAAGGATTCGAAATGCGGTCATGGTTCGATAAGTTGTATATATCTAGCCAAAAATGGCTAATTTTCTCGCTATTTGTATTTCATTATTATCGTGTCAGTTGCACGCGCGTATCGTTATATTTTTGCAGCTTATAATTAGAAATTTCGCGAGTGCCTGTACCGTAATACCAAGCGCAAATTTTCTAAAGATTAGGCTGTAGAGTGTAGTGTCCTCGATACATACGATGATAAAGTAGGCCAGATATATCTAGGAATCGACGACGCATAGAAAAGCGGATATTTTTTCGCCTCCTTGGAACGCGATTAATATTTAATGTTTAGCATACAGACGCTATTAACTGATGAGTACCATTACTTTTACTCTTAACACAGCTCTTATTTAATTTAGAAAAAAAATACTTGACTCTTATAAGTTATAGAAATTTAAAATACCATTTTGGAAATATATTTCTCGCTATATGCAAAAAAAGAATTATTCCCGAAACCTTTTTTTTTTGCTCCCGATTAAAAATGACTAAAAAATCGGAGACTGTTTTTTATTAAGAATTTATGTAATTTATTTTCTATTGTTTATCATTATTCGCTGAGTTTCAGAGATATAACGGATAACCTGATAAGTATAATCAGCTGGATTGCCATTGCTGCAATACATAGTGTTTTAAATGAACGTCTATAAAAATTGTCAAATGAATGGCTAGATATCGAGTATAATGTACATGTAGCTTGTGCGAAAAGAGATTCGTCGCCGATATTGGAGTCAATGTCGGTAAACAAGAAAGAAAAAGGATGATAACAGCGAGCAGGAGCGTAACGAAATTTCATAGTACCCCTTTCTTTCTCTCTCTCTCTCTCTCTCTCTCTCTCTCTCTCTATTTCTTTGAGAATATACATAAAATTTTCAGTAAATTTTTATAATTCCAAAATTTTAATAATTCGAGTAACTCTCGTGGATTATACTATTACTGCACAAGCTACTTTAGTATTAATACAGTTCCCAAGCTCGAGATTGTAGTAGGAGAATCGTCTGGAAATTTGCATTGTTTTCTCTTCATATACCGTTAATTAATGATGTACAATTAAAATCTCGCGTATAATTACAAGTGCGTTGAACGTGTGATAATGTGCGAATTGGCAGGAATTGGAAACAAGAATCGGTATACATAAATGTTATCGAAATTAAAGCGAGGAAATTTGAGAATCTCGAGTTTTTAATTTTCGACATGACATTCGTTGGCCGGTATGTCTCAAATTGAAACGATAAAACGCGTCATTATTTTAATATAATTTATTTTAATACAATTTATTATTTTAAGCTTGAACGTACGAAAGTTCATTCGACTTTCTTTTCGCTTTGCATTTTTAGGATTTATACAGAGTCGAACAGGAGCGATCGCTAAAGCTATTCGATAATTTCTCGACGAATGGTTATCTCTCTCGGAGATACGCGAAAAAGTGGATTGGTACGGTTTAGATAGCGTCGAAGGAGGCCATCACAGGAGGATCGACCCAGAAGAAAACCTGCTTTCATCGTGACACCTGTCTTCCTCGTTACATATACAGGTATCCCAATAGGAATGCAAAACGATGATGTAAGGCCGCACGATAAGTATTCCAGTGTCGGCAATGTAATTGCTGTTTGTTTTTTGGGTTTTTTTTTCCCATTACAAAAGAAAATCGTATAGTCGTCGCTCTATACAGATAACTATACTATAATTATAAATTTGCGGTTACGAGATGTAGGATACGAATGTCGTCTTGTCTCACCTTTATGGTGTTTGGTGGTCGTGGAGAAATCGATGAGAGACGTCTGCAGCGGGCACCACGCCCAAAGCGAGGGAGGGTGAAGGTGCACCGGGACGAACCCCATACAAAGACTCGTGGAATAGCTCGATGTTGCCATTACGCATCGAAAATGATATACAATGTGGCCTCTAACCTCGACCTATAACATTTATAAATGACCTAAGCCAGTGAATTATCCAACTTGGGAAGGGGCTCCATCTTTTTTTCTCCGCAATAGGGAGACTCTGAATTAGTCACCATCTTCGAATAAAATCCAAGTATCCTGACGCGTAGTCTGACGTGAAAATTTTAAAACAATTCTATTGAAAAATTCTATCTTATTAAATAAAACGACAACATCTTTATAACATTAGGCTCGATCGCAATTTCTTCCTAATTGACGGTAAAGCCATAATACTTAGCGCATATACTTAGTTCTAACTCTTTCTTTCTTTTCTTTAGATTAATATAACGCTAAACAATAGACGAAACGAGAGACTCATTTCGTTTCCCGCATTGCAAATCGTCGAGGAGAAATTGGCCGCGCTAACAAAGTCACTGACTTGATGGCTTGGTTTAATTGACCCGAGGCGACGGCGAGGTGTTTTCACGGCTGCAGAAATCAAGGCCACTGCACGCACACGTCTCACGAAGTTGAACGTGTAGCGCGTCGCGTGAACGCGAGCATTTCTATCTTCTCTGCGAGCCGTTCTGAGAATAAATCACAAACAAGGGGCCTTTCGGAGTCAAATCAATTCCCGCGGTAAGATTAGTTTACTCAATAAGAATATACAGATAAATTCTCATTGCGATTTTCTTCACATTTATGTGGACGAGATAAAATGAAAAACGAAACTGCGAAAATCTCGTACACACCAAATGTATATTGATATATGTTCGCTCCCCGATATTTAAAGAAAAAGATAATTAACATAAACAATATTTTAATTTTTTTATTAACATAAACTTTTTTTCGATAATCGGTATTTTTTCTCAATTTTAATAGTTTCTGTTTCTTTTTGTTACAGCCGTCAAAGAACCAAGTTTTAACTATATCATTGTTTCATCTGTATCATTTTTAGACATATACAATATAATATGTAAGGATTCTCGTAGTATCTATCTCTATCGCGGTCTAACGATAATAAAGTATCAAGAAAGGCGACATCTCCGGTTGATTTCAAGTCCGGGATATAATACAGAGTTTCCCCTTCCTGTGGCAGGATGCCATGCCAAGGCAATATCCTCCGGATGTTGGTATCCTTCGAGATAGAGTTTGAATAGGTTCTTTTTGCGATTCTTTTATCCGTATTATACATATGCTTACCTATATCTACTAAACAATAATTAGCCTCATCAAAACATTTTCGCGCAACGCGATTGGAGCGCAATTGGAGCGATTAGCTTGCTTAACGAGAGGATCGGTGTGTTCACCTTTACATATCGAGCGCAACATGCATAACGACATCAAATACATGTAGGCTTTGTGTTTATTAATATATCTATTTATTTATTTGAATGTATGTATATACGTATATGCCCATTCTTGGTCAAATATATAAATTTATATTTTTGATATTTTTCTTTCAGATTCCGTCGATACGATCACGCTGTCAATTGCTGTCGTAGAGAAAGATGGTATATATATATAACATACATATATGTATCACACACTCTTACATATAATTTAACTTGAAACATATGCATGTAACTGTGGCGTATAGTTGCGATACTTTTTTAATAGTTTTCCTTCGTCGCGTGCACGAAGAAATTACATGCTCGACGCTATTCAACACTAATACTCTATATCTAGCCAAATAAAGAGCCCGTTTCAATATCTCTCCATATATGCGATTATGTATGTCAGGGTTTCCGTATGAATTGCTTTTTTGGACAAAATTGTTACGCTATATAGGAATACTATAAAATGACGAATCGTAAGATAAATATATGTATTTATCGAGGCACCACATCGCGCTGATTAAAATCATTTATTCCGAGAGATGGATACATGAGAAAAATATGCCGATTTGTAAAGCGCAGCTTACATTTAAATTCGATAAAAAGTGCGAATCTATTTTCTATTCCAAGTTCTTATACGAGAATATTCGTCATTAGCGTGATTAAATATGAGATCGCGACTAATATATTTTATAATAAATGGAAACAAATTTGAGACGACGCATTGTATTATTCACAAACATTAATAATGAATTATAAACGTACAGAAAAGATGATCGAGATGAACGATACTCATTGCAACGCGAACGAATACTTGATGGATTACGTGACATAATGAATTATCGAGATAACGCCGTTATCATAACGGGAATCCGATATACTCGGCTTTCGATCAGTCGCATAATTTTATCTCATATCTCTTACCTTTTACATGTCTTTAATCTTTTCCTAAATAATTCATCATGTCCTAAATAAGATCATATTAATAATAATTCAACGATCATGGATCACATGACACATACATATCACATATATATGTCAGTAAAAAATAAGAAATAGTAAATAACTCTACTCAGAAAGAGAGTGGAAGAGAGAGAGAAAGAAGAAAAAAAATATTTATAATTTATAAAAAAATATATATTTAAAAATATAAAATATATGTGTGTTTTTATACACACATATATTATCAGCAGTGCCGAAGAATAAATTTGTGTTGGTGTATAATTCCCGCTTAAAAATAGATGTAGATGGCAGTACTAAACGGAGCATGCTACAGACCTTCTAGGGAGAAATGAAACAACGAACACGATTCTCAACGAATAGGTTGTTTCAGAGGTCATACGCCATATTTTCGAAAAATATCGCATGATATTTGTCATTGCGTAGCTAAAATGTATCAAAAAATAGCTATGGAGGCAACCAATCTCGTCGTTAGTCGTTATGGCCTTCGTACATTGGACGCGATGAGCAATGGAACGATGGACGATATCCAATGAGAGCTTTATTTTTTTGGAAAACCAGAGCTCTCATTGGATATCGCCCATCGCTCATCGCTCATCGCTCATCGCTCATCGCTCATCGCGTCCAGTGTGCGAGGGCCATTAGTCGTAAGCAAATTGACCAATCATAGTCGATTATTTCAAGAATATTCTTGAAATAATCGATTGTGGTTGGTCAATTTGTTTGCGACTAATAACTAACGATTCACCGAGCATTAGGCCCGTTCTATAATAAGGCTGCGGTCCGAAATACGCTCACAGCGTTCACAGTACTGAAAATCTATAGTTTACGTCACCTGCACTATAGCTGGCAGTGCGCTAATAGCGCTATTGGTTCCTGCATACAGGACGCGGAAACGCTTGCCGCGCGGCAAATGATAACGCGGTAGCCAATCCATTTTTCGCTCTAATGGAAAAGTTGTAAGTTGATTGGCTACCGCGTCGCCTTTTGCCGCGCGGCAAACGTTTCCGCGTTCTGTGTGCAGAAGTCATTAATGCCCGGTTTCTTCACACCTCCCGATAGCTATCCTCCAGATAAAGGTGTCTGTCAGATGATCCGATATGTCGATTCCGCGAGATATCTGCCGGATAAAGTTATCAGGAGGTGAAGAAACCGGGCATAAGCCCGTATCAGACTACGTATTGAAGATTGAAATTTGACCAATCAAGATAAAAGGAACTAAAATTTCCTTGTCTTGATTGGTCAAATTTCAATCTTTAAGCCCGTATCAGACAATGCATTGAAGATTGAAATTTGACTAATCAGAATAAAGAAATTTTAGTCCCTTTCGTTCTGTTTAATCAAGTTCCAATCTTTAATCTTCAATCTTCAATTTTCAATGCGTAGTCTGATACGGGCTTTAGGGTGCTTTCAGATTTACGTATAATACGCAAAATACATCATTGGATATCGCCTACCATTATGCGATAGGCTTAAAGCCCGTATCAGACTACGCATTGAAAATTGAAGATTAAAGATGAGAATTTCACTAATCAGAACGAAAGAGACTAAAATTTCTTTATTCTGATTGGTCAAATTTCGATTTTAAATCTTCAATCTCAATCTTCAATGCATAGTCTGATACGGGCTTTAGTTTCCCCTCGGGAAAGATTCCGCGTCTATGAGTTTTATATGTCCATGATTGTATACACAGGCATCATCAGGCACAAAAAAAGATCCACATCTGATATCTGATCTGTACATTGTTGATTTACGACGAATTTGACGGTTGAAGAATTTCGAAGAGGTTAGTTTCTGATTTGTGTCACATTACAATTGGAATTTGGAATACAATGATCGACAGTCACTTTGTCGAATCAGTTGCGAATTATATCTCGTGGCGCTAATCGAGACACACGCTTAATCGAATATAATATTGTAAGGATCGCAACAATTGCTGGTATAATATGTATCGACTAGGAAAATAGCTTCGTTGAAAGCTTTATAGAGGAGATCAGATTAACGACGTAATCATGATACGGACAAACAGGTTTGTCTCTGTGTCTTTACGTTTGTTTGAGACAATATATATTTTTTACAATTACATGCAAGAATCATATATAATATACGATCTCTTTCAATCGGTAACATTATAGCATTGTTTTCACCATGTTCTTTTTGGGTATGAATCCTTTAGGAAGAGATATCGCAACATAGAGGAGGAATCTAGCGAATTTATGCCATTGAGCAAACGGATCAACAATCTTCATATCAATAGTTTATCCGGTCTGCGAGAGAGCGTAATAGAAAACAGAGTGGAAAGCATGGAGACCGATTGGGAAAGTGGAAATTTTATGTCATCACCGAGCTGTTCTCAAAATTCATCACCGCGGGGTAGCTGTGGTTCTAGCCAAAGTAATTTTACCAACGATTACAGACCAGATCTAGATGCGACAGAAAATCCTTTTTATTACGAAAGCAACAAGTTGCTCTTTTCCTTATATATGGAACGTATGCAGCGGAGATTGGATCTGTATTGATAAATGTATGCGTCGCTGGCTTTATCCTGCCTGCAAAATATTCTCTTGACATTAAACTTGTTATTTTATTTGCCATATTTTTCTATGCCACATATTTGAAGAGTTTTCAATCTCATGTTATGTTAATCATGTAGATAATAGCAAGATATATTAATTTATGTCGGCAAATAAATTAACAAAATTTTTGTGTAAGAATCGGCATTTTTTTCAATAGATATATAATTCAATAATGTACAATTACATAAAAATATTAGATATTTTTAATTAGCGTATATAAAACTTGCGTGTAATCGAGACTATAAATTGTCTATACGACAGAATCGAAAGTTTGATTATATATAGTTTCTTTTAAATTATGCTATTACTACATGTCTTAACAAGATATTTACATCAAAATGCTCTCTTGACATTTGTAATGCAATATGCAGAATTTCTATACATGAAATTTTGTAAAATTGTATAAAAGATTAAGGTGATGGAAGTATGAATAAAGATCACAGTAAATTTAATTGAAAATAATACATGTATATGTATATATTTGCATATAAACGTACATATAGACGAGTAAATATTTGGGGATGCAATTCGAGGGCGCAAAAGTATATTTCAGGCACACGTATTTCGTATAAGTGCGCGTATTCTGATCGAGAGGGATAGTAGTACAGTCGAGATATCGACTCTCGACTTAACCTCGTTGGAGCATCCGCTAGGTGCGTGTAAGTCGTAATTGTTCCGCGAACGTGCGAGCAATTGGGAGGGAGGAGATCGAGTGAACTGACAGGTGTTTCGATATCGTGCGGAGAGATATTACAATTCGGCGCGAGAATTTCGCGGGTGCGCGTTGTACGTATGTATGTTTCAACCACTTTAATCAAGTACGCGCAGGCGCCACGTTCTATCGTGATATCCTTCGCTTTCCCTCCTCTCGTCCATAATTCTACACGTAACCGCGCGCCGCCATAGTTAATATTTCAGCCGATATATAAAGAATATTAATAGAACGCGTACGTGTGTGCGGCGCGCGTTTCCGAGCGTCGTTTCGATCGAGAAAGAGAGGCTATCGGGATCGAGGATGCATTGGTGATGTTGAACATCTCGGAGGCGCAGTGTGTCAATTCGCGCCAGCGTGACTCTGTCGGACTTTCCGAACGAGCAGCGCTCGAAGAGTCAAAACGCGTGGCCAGCGTGTGTAGTAGTAGCAGTAGTAGTAGTGGTAGTAGTGGTGGTGGTGGTGGTGTCGGGGCGGTTATGTACCGTTAGCTCGAATTCGTTCCCGTTGGCCGGTTCTCTCGAGATCCACGCTCGCATCCTACCTACCGACCGAGGAGAAGACCGAGCTATATTCGATCGTGGTGTCTCGGCTGTCGTAAACCCGGAAACGCGAAGTGTGCGCGTCTTCGAGAGTCTTTGGCGCGCAGAAAAGAGAGAAAGGAGGAGAGAGAGAGAGAGAGAGAGAGATAGAGATAGAGATAGAGAAAGATAGACGGACGGACGGACAGACGGAGAAAGAGCGGCAGTGCGAGTCGAGCGCGAATTTATCGTGAAGTCACTCTCTCGAGCTTCCGTTAGAGACGTGCGCGCGCGCGCGCGCGCGCGTGTGTGTTGTGTGTGTGCGTATCCCGTTCTCGTCACATACGGGTTTCTCCACGCGTACGTATGACGTGTGCAGACCGATAGCCGCGACGATACGTCGGTTAGCGTCGTGCACGTAGAAATGAGAAAGTCGTTGCCGCCGCGCTGAGGATCGGGGCACGATCGACGACGCAGGCGAGCCAGCCAGACGGACGATTCCCGTACTAAGCGGAGTTACACGAAGGCGGCGACAGTAACAGCGGTACGTTGGAGCCGAGCGCGCACTGGAGAGCTGCTTTCTCGTCTCTTTGCCCGCTTGTCTACCGCCTGTACTTACGAGTAAGTAGAACGTACGGAGACGAAAAATAACTACTTGCCCGATCTTCTTTCGTCCGTCTCATTAGAATATACATATATCCATGTATATATTATATATCGATATATGTATATTTTTGCATACAACTACCATATGTGCGTGTCTCCTCCTTTCTCTCTCTCTCTCTCTCTCTCTTTCTCTCTCTCTCTCTATATATATATATATATATATATATATATATATATATATATATCTTTATTATCCTGGCTCGATTGCACTACGTAAAGCCGGACGATGAGCTGACGGTACCGCGCCCCGTGGTTGCCATGTCGCGCTACACTCCCAACGCCGTAGACCGTGAAACCATGAAGAGCACGAGAAACCGCGAAACAGTGGCCACAGAGAGCACCCACCCCAAGACACTAAAATCGTCGCGGGCCCCTCGTCGTGGCTCACGGCTTGGCTCGAGCTGGCTTTGGTGGGGTGGTTGGAGGTGCGGACAGTGGTTGAGAGGCTGGTGGGGTTGGAAATTGCGTGGTGGTGGGTGTTCGTCGAGGTCTCGGAGGCCCCTCCGTGGCATCTCGCTGCCTCTAACCCATCGAGGTGGGGGTGTAAACAACAGCCCTGCCCGTGTACCTCCGTCGTCTCGTTTCGCCTCTGCCCTGCTCTTCGTCAGCTGATGCGTCTTTTGCAACGTGCCGTCGTCGATCTTTTTCCTACTTCCGTCCTTGGCCCCCCGGGTACAGTACAGCCCGAACGAGACGGGACGGGACGGGACGGGACGGGACGAGACGAGACGAGACGACACGAGGTAGGAAACGCGACGAGGGGGACAAAAGTAGGGAGAGGAACAGGGAATATATTCACGGCGTGTTAGAAGGGGTTTCGCCGTGCATAGAGCGGGAGAGAGAGGCGAAGAGAGGGAAATGAAAAAAGAAAAAAAAGGAATCAGAGTCGCGTGCCATTTTCTCACGCGGATGATTTTTCCATCATGGCGGACGTAACAGCGAGCGTACGTGCGCGTTTTGTGCAATTGACGTTGCTACTCGAATCTCGGGGGAAACGTCATTAAACACCCAAGATTACGCGCGCCGAGTTTTCATTCCCGTCGAAATCGTAATTTTTTTTCTCGATTCCTGTCGCGACAATTGCTCTCGTACATTCTCGCGCTTCTCTAAAAGATAAGATGTAAAGTTTTTTTCTCAAATGTGTGGAACGCACGAGAAGGAAACGTACGATACGAGAACGAGAGTCGGTTGCACAACAGAGTTGCCGATCCGCTCGGCGTGCAGCGTCCCGTGCCGTGCGCGCAGTGATATCATAGCGCGCTTGGTTCGTGACGAGAGACGCGAGATGCCCGACGCCCAATGAATTTTATGAAAAATCCACAGATGTGCCTTTCGCGGAGATAGACATATACGTACATAACGCTCGAGGCTCGAGCGCGAACGAGAGAGGAAGATAGAGGGAGGGAGGGAGACGTCGCGAGAGAAGGATTAGATTCTCTTGGTTGGCCTCGGTTAACCTTAGGAGAGAATCGCTGCGCCATTACGACATGCGCGTCTTGCGAGAGCGTCCAGCGGCGGCACAAGCGACAGGCGGAGCTGACCGATCAGTCGCGTATACGCCATTCCGCGTACGACGAAAAACAAGTCGCGTGGTGTCGTCGTTGGCGGCGGCGGCGGCGGCGGCGGCAGCGACGACGACGACGACGACGACGACGAGTGAAGAGTAGCTGGCGCGCTACGAGACACGTCCACAGAGAGACTCTCTCTCTCTCTCTCTCTCTCTTTCTCCCTCGTTCGGGACGGCAGAAGGCAGAACCACGGTAGAAGCACCCTTTTGGCCCTCCTTCGGCGGAAGAGGCATCCCCGCGCGCGCACATGTAGACACACACATACACGGGTATCTCTAACCTCTCTGTTTCTTTCCTTGGTCGGGGCGGGGATATCGTCATCCCGCGTTATCATTGTCATCATTGTCTCAATTCGTCTGGCGGTGTGTCTGCGCTGCCCGCGACAACGGGTGCCTTCGCCCCCGACGCGTTTTCGCGTTCCCCTTCCCCGGGGAATGCCAGTGTGCCGCCCGAGGTTCGACTCCCTTCTTTCTTGATGTTCCCCCTACCCTCGCCCAGTTTACCTTCTTTCTCGTACCGTTTCTCGCGGTACATCGCCCATCGCCACGTCGAGGTAGCGCGTGAGAGAAAGAGGGAACGGAGTCTCGAGCTCTATTTCGCGGTAGATTCCCACCTATGGACCTCCCCCCTACCCTCATCGCGCTCCTACCCCTTACAGCACCCGTAGGGGCACCATCACCGCCTGATGGAGTGGGGTGGGATCCTGGGCCACTTTGACGACTATCCTCCCTGCTCCCGGATCCCTTTTAGGTAGAGGGAGGGGGTGAAGTGGGGGAGCCCTCACCCCACCCTCGGACGATATCACCAAGGCTCCGAGTCAAGAGCACGCTACTCGCCTCCGAGGCGAGTCGCTAAATCAACGTGGGATTTTCATTTTGTCGTTTTCGCGGAAAAGCACGTGGGAGGGAGGATGCGAGGAAGTTGAGTTAAATTAGGTTAGGTTGCCAGGATAGAGGCTGAACACTTTCGCGCGTGTGTATGTGTGTAAATGATAGAGATCGACTTTGACTTTTTATCTCGTGTGTTGTACGATATTGTTTTCTATTCTACTTTTCCAATTACGATATCGTTAAGTACGAGTCGTGCGATGATAACGGCGATTCGACTTGACCGCAAATTTAAGCTTGACATAGGAGCAAAGAATTTCATTCGATATCATCCCTGTCCATGCCATACATGATGTTTTTGCTATATCTTTCACATTTTGTGTATTCCTTAAATAATTTATCAACAATATACGTGAGTAAAAATGGGCGCATCTCAATATGCGCCTTTGGTAACATTATAGTACAATTTAAAATACAGGGAAAAAAATGTGAAATACACGAAGCAAATGTTTATCTATATGTATATTTTATCTATTTGTAATTTCTTCATTTTCAACATTTCGGGTAAGAAGACGAAACACCGAGACTTGATTCTTAAACGCAGTTGATCGTATTGTGTTTAAAAGTACAACTTTTCTTGTGTACTGCGTATTTGCTAAAAATAACATTTATATTTATAACTACATTTGGGCCAACAATTTTATTCTTATATTTGGTATGACGCGTATATATCGAAGATTTTAAATAAATAAATTTCCAAGATTTATGTTTATTCGTAGTCGTGCAGGAGAGCATGTTTTAAATTCAACTCAATCTCTTGTTTATGTCAATTACATTTTGTTGGAGAGTATATTAAATCCTAAAAATGAAATACTTTGTCATTATTGAAACGGTAAAAATGGATTTCTGTTCTTACAGGTGTAATTCTGAAAAATGAATTTCACACCATTCCCCGGATTCACCGGTTCGCTGCCGACCGGTACTGTTCATCAATTTGCTACAGCGAAATTCGCGCAGAATCTTACTACTGGTGGACAAGTGGTTGGAGTTCTGTCAGGTGGTGAAGGTGGTGTTCATTACCTAAGGCCAGTTGATCCAAATGGCTTTGCCGTGGCTCAGGGCGGTAACAGTCAGCAACAGCAGATTATTACTTTGCCTATTACTGTACCGGGAAAAGATGGCACGCAGCAACAACAGACTGTCCAGATACAAGTGGTCAATCCTAACGTACCTCAAAGCGGAAATAGTGGCGATCAACCGAAATATCATTTGGCGCCAATATCGTTGGGTCAGTTTCCGCAGGGGGCAGCTACCGTTCTCACTGTTGCCTACAGTCAGCAAGGCGCGGATGGAGTACAAATACAAGTACAACCGCAAAATACTGTGGCGACTACGCAAACGTAAGTACATGACGACGTATATTCTCTACATTTCGTATCTTATCTTACATTTTGCATATAAAACCAAGTCGAAAAGGATTAATTTCTCTATTTAATTCGCTGATTGCTCGATCCGATTTTAGATCCGATCAAACGACACAAAGTACATCTACCGCTGTGACCACTACATCTCAGCAGACCATCCAACAAACGGTACAGCTTCCGGGAGCGCCCGAAGGTCTGACTGTAGTTGCTCAGATTCCTCAAGATTTGATCCTGCGAGAAAGCATAGAAGAATCTAAGGAGGACGTGAAAGAGGGTACGACACCCGTGGCCCTTATTAAGCGGGGCAGTGTCAAGAATCAAGGTAATCAGAGCGGGGAAGAGTTTATTACTTCTATGCCCGCTAGTTGGCAAAGTCTCGCCACTCCAGGATCTACGGTCGCAGATTATCTCTCCAGACTACCTACCAGTACTCTGCCTCTTAGTTTGCAACATTTTCTCAAGTTTTCGGCGGAGACTATAAAAAGAGAAGCTACCATCGAGTCTAGTCCGCTCGGGGCGGATGGTCTTGATGCTTCCGGAAGCACAGCCTCGGGGGAGCAAGCGGTGCAGATTACAGTTGCAGGAGGAGAAACGGCGATCATTCCCGACGTTGTCGAAGAACAGGAGCCGGGGGCAAAGCCAAAGCGAAAAAAGAAATACAAAAAGAAACCTCCGAAACCGAAGAAACCAAAACCAGGGCAAGTGAGTATAGTTACTGCTCTCGATGGTACGACACTGTTTTGCTGCCCTCAATGTAATATGGCGTATCCGGAGAAGGAAAGTTTGGAACAGCATCTGATTGGACACAAAATAGAGAGGAGGTTCATATGCGACATTTGCGGCGCTGGTCTTAAACGAAAGGAACATTTGGAGCGGCACAAATTGGGCCATAATCCTGATAGACCCTTCATATGTTCTGTTTGCATGAAGGGGTTTAAACGAAAAGAACACTTAAATCTTCATTTTGTTATACATTCTGGGCAAAAGACCGAAGTCTGTACCGAATGCGGCAAAGCGTTCTATCGGAAGGATCATCTTAGAAAGCACGCGAGATCTCACCTCGCTAAGCGTGCCAAGGAGGATCCATTGAACACGAGCGACGCGGCGCAAAATCAACAACAGGCGGACCAACAGCAGCAGCAAGTGGAACAAATGCAACAACAGTCTTCGGTGCCTGAATTGCAGCAAATCCAGATACAAGTAGGACAAGGCTCTCAAGCGCAGATTCATCAGATTTCCGTTAGCGAGCAGTCTACGGTAGTTTTACCTACAGCTGCCGAGACTGGAGCTATGACTATGCTGCATCATCAACAGCAGCAGCAACAGCAGCAACAGACGCAACAGCAACAGCATTAGCAACAGCCTACCGCCCCGAATCAACTTGGGCGGTACTTTCGTTTCAATCATCAGCACGCTAGAGGTCGTGCACGACATAGCGTACTCGCTGATTAAATTTTGCAATTTGATAAGCGAGTTGATGTTATCGAAAGTTTCATTGATCTTCATCGTTGCCTAGTTGATTATTTCGCAGTCTCCGTTTTTTGAAATGCCTCCGTTTCTTCAAAAAATGTGAATATCCATATTTATCGACGCAAAGCCGGTTGGGACTTTGATTTTGCGCGCCATCGGCTTTTACCTTTAATAGCGGCACAAAAAGAGCTCGCATTCGTGTTTATAATAATATCCTGTAACAATTATCCTGTAAAACGCACCGAGCTGAATCTACGAACAAAGTTCGTGTATATTTACGAATTTCTTCTCTTTTACGTACACGTTATAGCGTACGTGGAAAGAAGCGACAGTATCCGCTCGCCCCTCGGACAAGATGTTTTTGTCGCTGATCCAGTTCCATGACGCAAGTTAGGGATAAATATGAAAAGTTTATATAAATATATAAATAAATATAAAAAAAAATATATATATATATATTTTTGAAAGCGCGAACTGGATTCGTCGAAGGTGAGAAGGCAATCGAGTTTTGGGCTGAAAATATAATTTGCTTTTATGACGATGATATAAAAATACGTAATGAAAGAATTAACTACACATGAAACAGAGTTTGTAAATACAGCGCAATCTTTTATTCTCGATAAGGAAGAAAATCGTGTCGCATAAATATTGAAGCGAGGTGAATCTTATTTATTTCTCTTGTACAACAGAATCGTGACATTACGACGGAACTTGATTCGCTGAATCAAGTCCAATTTATATTTTGTAGCATTATATTGACAGAAGCATGCATACATTTTTCTATAATTTAGATCATTGCGTATATGTTACTTTCACAGAAGACACGAAGACGTGAAGACGTTTGTGGAATCCGCGCTTGAAGGGTTCGAATGTTGAAATCGTGGGATAATTAGATTGGGAAAAAAGTGTTGCGCGTTTAACAATCTTTTGGTACAAAGGACAGAATTAGCTTATTGCGTTTAAAAAATTCTTTTCCGACAGAAGGAAAAAATTATAGTATACGCATTTACGCACGTTGCTGTAAAATTAAATACATTTCTGCAATCTATAATTATATCACGGATAAGATTCGTATTTTCACTCGGTTGATCTAATATTGGAATATTGAAAACTAAAAGATTTAATATTAATATCGAAGAAATAAATTTACACGTCGCGCAAACGAATATTATGACAAAATATAAATTATTTACGATATTCTTTTTGGTCGGTCACACGATGTGTTATAAAAAAAAGAGCGCTAAATATTTCGAGATGTAAACCAAATCGATCCATCATGATTCACGTGAAAAAAGTTTTTCGACGAAGGTGTATGTATACCACACAAAAAAAACTTCTTATTGTAAGTATTGCAATTAAAGGCAATGGGTATATATAATTGTACAAGAAATATATTATTATTTTATTATCACATAATATAGATATATCATTATCGTAGTTAGGATAAATAGTACATAAGCAATTTTCATTGTTACTTACATAAATATTGGAGGAGCTACAAGATAAAATAAAACATACATTTAATACAAAAACTATATTCTCCTCGCCTTTCTAATTCGTGTATATCTTTCTCGAAATTGAGCGAAAATTTAAGATCTCGTTAGCGGTTTCACGATATACGAAAGATGACAAAACTATCTACCTATATATTCTTGTTCTCCACACACGGCAATGAGATAAACGCGAGTCGGATGGGAGAGATGGAAGAGGGAGGAATGTAACACGGCGGAAAGAGTTTCGAGTTAAAATTCTGCTGCCCGATTCGGGTATTTTCGTCGGGGGGGGGGAGGACGCGGTTCGGCGCGCCGCGTCGGCAGTCGGGAGACCCGGGAGAGAGAAAAAATAGTTAAGAGGCTGGCACAGTAGAGGGCGGATGAGTGGGATGGGGACACCGGCTTGAGGGACAGGTGTCAACGATACACCGCGCAACGGGGGATCTCCTTTGACAGTCGGCTACGCGTGGACAAAAAAATAAAAAATTAAAAAATAATCAATAAATTCTTCGCGTAGTCACCCTTTCATCAACTTTTACAATATACTTCTTTTAAAGGGTTTAAAAGTTCTAACAATATATTTCATTCTAAATAGAATAAAATCTTTCTATCACAGAACAGCTGTAATATATGGCATATAAACATGACATTAAAACACAATTCTTTCTTATAATTTTAATTTTAAATCTTTCAAAATTAAATTGTAACGAAAGAGAATACTTTGTATTCAAACGTACAAAAAAAAAAAAAAAAAAAAAAAAAAACGACGATTCAGACGAGTGCTCGAGCGCGGGTTAACCCGGACGGTAAGCATATTACATTCAATTCTCGCGTCTCTCGCGCGCTACGTGCGCGAGAGGCCGACGAGCCGCACGCCAACGGCCATTTTCTCTCCCATAGAATTTGGTGCGATGGTGCGTGGTGCGGCGGTGCGGCGGTGCGGCCCCACGCCACGTATCGACTAAGTATCTGATGGAACAGAGTGGGATGGGGTGGGGAGTCGTGTACCCCCATCCCCCTGACAATCGACCACCCCTTCGCAACTATCTCCGTCGGCAGTTTTTTTTTCATCCGTATCCTTTTTTTTCCCCGTTCACGGCGTGTTCTCGCGTAAGGGGCTAAGGGGTGAGGTGTCTAGCCGTGGCGCGTCCTTGGCCGTCGGCGATCCGTTCGTCGGATGTTTCAGCGAGTGTTGGCGTTTTAGACGACGACGTACACGAATCAAACCGGCGTATCGTTCGGATATTCCACTACGTTACGTGATATTCCGTTGTGAGCGCCAGTGTGGTGGCGTGTCTAGTGTCTACCAGTCTATCGTCGCGCTTCTGTTCCTCGCTCCTCCCTCTCTCTCTTCGACTCTGTCTCTTTCTCCGTGTCTTGTGTGCGTCTGTCTGTCGCGTGCGAGAAAAATCTGCCCCCGCACCACTCGTACTCTCTCGTGTGCTGTCACGGGGATCCCCCTCCGAGGAAAGGATCCGGGATCCGGTACGGCGAGGAAACATGGGGAGAGGGACATCGTTGTGAGTAAATACCTCTCCCGGGCGTCGTTGACGATGCCGTTCGGTGCGACTTGACGTAATCGAGCTAAGCGAGTCGAGATGCCTCCCTCGATGTACGTGAAAAGCACATCGTGATGTAGCTTTTCACGCAAACAACGGTAGAGAAAACGAGAGGCGATTCTCGTTGACGGAACATAGTTTGGCGATCCCGTCTTGACTCGCTCGCGAGACTCGAAATGAGAAAGTTGATGATCCATTCGTTATCCTCTTCTCTCCCTCTCTTATATATATATAAAATTCTCTTGTAAAAGACGCTTATCTCCTGTTTAGGTATATGAATTCGACTGACGATCTGCAATGAATTTCCCGCCGTTCGGAGGTCATTTCCCTAGTACTATACCGAGTATCCATCAATTCGCGACCGATAGCTCCAGCGGTGCGAGCGCGCGTTACGCCAATCATTTTCCCAACCAGCCTCCGATCGGAGTGCCGGTTATGGGAAAGTACCGTCCCGAGAACAACGGCGTACAATCCGCTCAGTCGCAAGTGATGATGAACAATAAAACCAGCTATCCCAACAGTAATGTTCACCATTATCCAAATGTGCCGTACTCTCAAGCCCAATCGGTTCAACAACGGCCGGCCAATTCGCCTGGAATGCAAGAGAAACGCTCGTATCATCAGGTAAAAGGATCTTTTACCTCATTCTTTTTTCAATGAATATTTTCGAATATATTTTACCGTTTAAAGAAAGGCATTCTTTAATACATGATATATATAATAAACATGTACGCATGTATGTATATTTTTTTTTAGTTTGTATTTATTACAAACATCAAGAAATAATTATATTAACAATTATGACACAGATAAAAGGTAGCGCATTGCATTTTATAAATTGTCAGAAATATAAAAGATAAGGAAGGTGTAAACAACATTAAATATCCAACTGATTTATTACTACAAAGAACAATAGCCTCATAAATTGTAATATATCGTTTACACTTTCCTCTGTTGCAGCAGTCCACGGAAACTATAAATCAGCAAGATGTTTGCAATCTCCTTCAAGACAAGGATAAGAATAAAGAGAAAAAAACTGAGGAACAGCGCAATGGAGAGACTGCTACAAATGGTACTCAACAGGATTACACGATGCACCAACATCATCAACAACATGCTCATACTCAGACTCCAGCCACTATGCCTGCTACGTGGCAGTCGCTCGCTACTCCCGGATCCACTGTAGCTGATTATCTCAGTCATTTACCGGCTAGTACTTTACCATTGAGTTTACATCATTTTCTTAAATATTCTGCCGAAAGTATCAAAAAGGAGTCGGAGATGGCACAAACTACTTCGGTGGCTGTGGCGACTACAACGACACCTAACATAATGATGTCGCCGAATAATAAAAAGAAGAAAAAGAAGAAGACGCCAAAGGAAAAGAAGCCACGTCCAAAGCCTGGCGAAATTCGTCTAACGACAGCATTAGACGGCTCGACGTTGTATTGTTGTCCAGAATGCCATATGGCATATCCGGAACGAGAATTGTTGGAGCAGCATCTTTTAGGTCACACCTTGGAAAGAAGATTTGTCTGTGACATATGCGGCGCTGGCTTGAAACGAAAAGATCATCTTACGCGTCATAAACAAAGCCACAATCCCGAGCGACCTTACGTTTGCACTGTTTGTTTGAAGGCTTTTAAGAGAAAGGAACAACTGACATTACATTTTGTAATACATTCTGGGGAGAAACGACACGTGTGTACCGAATGTGGCAAAGGATTTTATCGGAAGGATCATCTACGCAAACATACCAGAAGCCACATCGCGAGAAGAGTGAAAGCTGAACTAAGTCAAAATGCTAGTAAGAAATATGTCATGCGTATTAAAGCCTAAACGTGTTATAATGATTTTTCTTGTTGTATTACATTAGCAATTTTATTTACGCTTTAGGTACGCAACAGAATCAACAACAAAATAACGTTTCGAATATGCAAACGACAACCGTTTCAGCATCATCTGTTCTTCCGGGCGGGCATCCAGGCTCTCTCCTGTCCTGAGCCCCGCCACCAGGGAACTTTCAGGTTCCCCATCCAAACAATATTCTTCATACACATACTTCGCATCATTCGCTACATCATCATCATCTAACGGCGGTTAATGTGGCGCATCAGTCGAGTATCACGCCACTTGCTACATCCGGTCATTATCAGTCGCACGAACTTAGCTTTTTGGGACACGTTAAAGATTTCTGAGACGAGGAGAGGACCTCGATAAAGAGGTAACACCAAGACGCTAACCGATCGTCACTGTCTCATCGTCGACGTGAGTAGTTCTGACTGACCCATGATTTGAATCTAGTGAGTTTTATATAAACATATATTCGTATTATGTGCTTAAAAGCTTCCATGTCTCATCTTTTTGATGCAACAGAGATATATGATCATTCCTTTTTCCATTTTTACTTCTTTGGCTTGGCGACACATTTGCTCTGTCATTTTAAGATGATTTATAATTTGTTGATTGACCCCAATATTATTCTCACTAGAATTACACATCAATCAATGCGGTAACTTCTCTTGCCAAGTATACACGGCGTACAATTATTAATTTAGTTTTTCACTCCATTGTGTGTAATTGGACACTATATATGTAATATAGCAGCAATTTACTAAATATGTATCTTTTTTAGAACGATTTTTTTTTTTTTTTTAAATAATGTAAGGAATAAAGAGAGACATAGAAGCTGTATGCTCCTTATAGCACAAACAAAAGTACACATGTGGAAGAAAAATACTAATCTTCCACAGAAACTCTAGAGTGTAGAAAAGTTTGATTATAAGTCAAAAATTCTTGCCATACATTGTGTACGACGAGGAAAAAGAAGATATTTTTATGAAAAGTCAGTGTTAACATAGATATTAAGGGGGGGGGGGGAAGAAAGAAAGAAAAATTTAATAACATCTCTTTTTCTTTCTTTGTTTTTTCTTTTCTCGCATCATCGCGTTAAAATACAATTGAATCCTATAATTTCCGCGATGGTCGTGAATGTTTTCATTATTTTTTGTTAAATGACATTACACAACTGCAAATAGTGTAAAAGGAATAGGAATTACACACGCATAGTGATATTCCTAATACATATGAATGTGGACGACAAGTCGAACCCACCGATTAGAAAATTGTTTTTCGTTTATTGAAAACAAATATTTACTGAATCTCAGTGTGCANNNNTATCGCGAAAGGTTATCTAAAAGGATCTTTTAGTGTGCATATATATCGATGTATAATTTATATTAAATTATTATAAAAATTCTTGGCTATGCCCTATTGAAAAAGTGGCAAAACCATAGCACTATTTCGCGGTTGACAAAATTTATTCGTTTCATTAAAACTTTTTGTTCCTTTTATGTATTAGTTGACAGTATTTTATATTTTACGATATAGTGTTCTAAATCTTTACTTTTATATTGTATATACATATGCACAGTTTTATGTACGCAAGTTATTTGCCCAGTTGGTTTGGGGTAAACGCGTCGTTACTTTCCTTTACGACTTACGCGCTTTACGACTTATACCGAACATTTGTCATGAAAGTTTAAATTACATTTTATAATTTTTTTTAGATGACTTTTTTACATTGTTTTTATACATTTTCGTTGGACTTCTTATATTCGTTACATTCGTTGAGTACTGATTATA